TTAATAGGTATTTACAGAGCATTACACCCCAAAACTGCAGAATACTCATTCTTCTCAAGTGCACATGGGACATTCTCAAAGACAGACCACATGTTAAGATACAAATTAAGTCTGTACAAATTCAAGAAGACTGAAATCATATCAAGCATCTTCTCAGATCACAATGGCATGAAACTAGAAATTAATTACAATAAAAAAACAAAAATATTCAAAACCATTCAAGCTAAATAGCATCTTATTAAACAAGAAATGGGAGATCAAGGGAGATCATCAAGGAGATCAAGGAAGAAATAAAAAAAATCTTGGAAATCAATGTGAATGAACACATGACAACACAAAATCTATGGGATGCAGCAAAAGCAGTCCTGAGAGGAAAGTTCATAGTACTACAGACCTACCTTGAGAAACAACAAAAGTTTCTAATAGACTATCTAACCATAAAATTTAAAAAAACTACAAAGTCAACAAAAAGAAAAACCCAAAGCAAGTAGATGGAAAAAAATAGTAAAAGTCAAAGTGGAAATAAACGACATAGAAACTAAAATAACAAATCAAAAGATGAATGAAACAAAGATCTGGTTCTTTGAAAACACAAACAAGATTGATGAACCTTTAGCCAGACTTACCAAGAAACAAAGAGAGAGGACCCAGATAAAGAAAATCAAAAGTGAAAAAGGAGAAATATAACTGACACCACAGAAATACAAAGGATTGTTAAAATATACGATGAACAATTATATGCCAACAAATTGGACAACCTGGGTAGAATGGACAAATGTCTAGATTCACAGTCTCCTAAAACTGAATCAGGAAGAGACAGAACACTTGAACAGACCCATAACAGCTAAGGAAATTGAAGATGTAATCAAGAAACTCCCAGCAAACAAAAGCACAGGCCCGGACAGCTTCACAGGGGGGTTTTACTGAACAGTCAAAGAAGAATTAACATACATTATCCTTAAACTATTTCAAAAATGTAAAGGAAAAAAAGACTTCCAAACTCTTTTTATGAAGCCAGCATAATGCTAATTCCAAAACCAGATAAAGTCACCACAAAGAAAGAAAATGATAGGCTAATATCTCTGATTAACATAGATGTCAAAATCCTTAACCAAATATTAGCAAATAGCATTCAGCAATATATTAAAAAAATTCACCATGACCAAGTAGGATTCATCCCAGGGATGCAAGGCTGGTACAATATTTGCAAATCAATAAATGTGATACACCACATAAATAAAATAAAAGATAAAACCCATATGATCATATCAATAGATATTTAAAAAGCATTCAGCAAAATCCAGCACCCATTTCTGACAAAAATGCTCAGCAATGTGGAAAGAGAGGGATCATATCTTGACACAATAAAGGCCATGTATGTAAAACCTACAACCAACATCATACTCAATGGGCAAAAACTAAAAGCATTTCCCTTCAGAACAGGCACAAGACATGGATGTCTACTTTCATTTCTCTTATTTAACATAGTATTGGAAGTCTTAGCCACAGCAATTAGACAAGAAGGGAAAATAAAAGGGATCCAAATTGAAAAGAAGGAAGTGAAACTGTCATTATTCACAGATGACATGATATTGTACAAAGAAAACCCTAAAGACTCCATAAAAATCTACTAGAGCTAAGAAACAAATTTGGCAAAGTAGCAGAAAACAAAATTAACATCAAGAAATGGACAGCATTCTTATACACCAATAATAAACTCACAGAAAGAGAAACTAAAAAAGCAATCCCATTTACCATTGCAGCAAAAAAATTAAGATACCTTGGAATAAACTTAGCCAAAGAAGTAAAGGACCTATTCTCAGAAAACTACAAGACATTGAAAAAAGAAATAGAGGGAGATATAAAAATGTGGAAGTATATACCTTGTTAATGGACTGGAAGAATTAACATCATTAAAATGTCCATACTATCCAAAGCAATCTATAGATTCAATGCAATCCCCATTAAAATACCAATGACATATTTCACAGAACTAGAACAAATACTCCAAAAGTTTATATGGAACCAAAAGAGACCCTGAATAGCCACAGAAATCTTGAAAAAGAAGAACAAAGTAGGAGGAATCACAATTCAGGATTATCAGGTTATATTACAAAGCCACTGTAATCAAAACTACCTGGTACTGGCAGAAGAACAGGCATATAGATAAATGGAAAAGAACAGAGAACCCAGAAATTGAGCCAAGACATTATGCTCAACTAATATTTGACAAAGGGGGCAAGAGCATACAATGGAGTAAAGACAGCCACTTTAATAATTGGTGTTGGGAAAATTGGACAGTTACATGCAAAAAATAAAAATAAAAATAAAGCTAGACCACCAACTTACACCATACACAAGAATAAACTCAAAATGGATAAAAGACTTAAATATGACTCATGAATCTATAAAAATCCTAGAAGAAAATGTAGGCAACAAAATTTCAGACATCACACGCAGCAGAATTTTCACTCATACAATGCCTAAGGGAAGAGAAACAAAGGAAAAAAATGAACACATGGGACTACATCAAGCTAAAAGCTTCTGTATAGCAAAAGAAACAAGCATCAAAATGGAAAGGCAACCCACTGTATGGGAGGGCACAACTGCCAATGATACATCAGATGAGGGGTTAATTTCCAAAATATATAGAGTACTCATGCAACTCAACAAATGGAAGACAAAGAATCCAGTTAAAAAAAAATGGGCAGAGGACTAATACAAATAATAAATTAAGAAAATAATTTTGTTTACAGTATTGACAAAAAGAATAAAAACTTAGCAATATATTTAATAAAAGAAGTGTAAAACATATCCTCTTAAAACTACAAAACTGTCAAAAATGAAGGAATATCTAAAAAATGAAAAAACATTTCATGGTCATGAATCAGAAGACGTAATATTGTTAAGATGACAATCCTCCTCAAATTGATCTATAGATTCAATATTCAATTCAATATCCATCAGAATTCCAGGTGGCCTGTGAATAAAAATTGACAAGCTGATTCTAAAATCCATATAAAATTGAGGATCTCAGAACCAAAACAATATGATTTCAAGAGAATAATGTAGCAAGACTTCATATTTTCTGATTTCAAAACTTACTACAAAGCAATAGTAATTTAAAATGTGTCACGAGGATAGACATGTAGATCTATAGAATACAAAAGATAATTCAGAGACAAACAATATATCTGTGGTCCACTGATTTTAATAAGGGTGCCAAGATCATTTGATGCACAAAGAACAGTGTTTTCAACAATGGTGAGGACACCACCAGATAGCCACATGACAAAAAATGAATACACCCTTATTTCAAACAATATACAGATAGTAACTACAAATAGATCAAAGACCTAAATGCAAGAAGCAAAACTAAAAATTTCTTAGAAGAAAACAGAGGTCTAAATCCTCATGAACTTGAATTTGGCAATGGAGTCATAGATATAATATCAAAAGCAAGAGCAATAAGAATAACAAAAATAGATGAATTGGACCTCATCAAAATGAAAAACTTTGTACTTCAAGGTATACTTTCAAGAGAGTAAAAAGACAATCAACAGAATGAGAAAAAATATTTGCAAACCATCTATCTGAGAGGGTATTGTATTTAGAATATAGATAGAACCCTTGCAGCTCAATAATAAAAAGACAACCCAACTTTAAAAAGGAGCAAATGATCTGAATAGACATGTATAAGATGGTCAATAAGCACATAGGAAGATGCTTAGCATCTCAGATTTCCTAGGAAAGCAAAGTGAACAAATTATCCTGTTCCTTATAATTTTTAACCATTATTTTAGATATAGAAATATTTTATAGTTAGCACAAAGCCATAGAGAAATATCAAATGAAAACAAAACCATAATTAGCAATAACATAACTTAGAATCCATGAAACATGGTACATTGTAGGAATAGCCCTAATAAACAAATACCTATTCCTATTATTAGTCACCAGCTTGGAAAGAAGTGAAAGAAAAATGTAAATTAATTTTCTATTTTAAACTATTTAGTCACATTGTTTATATCTGTATCATTTGTATTTAATAATGTATTAATATTCTATTAAATCTGGCTTAGTTCTTCCTAAACACAAATCAAAATAAAGGCACACCAGGAGATCAAGAATAAGTACTCAATTAATAAAGAACCTAGTTCATATCAAAGATAAATTACTCATAAGTGGTATTGTTCTTCTCTGATATGCTCTTGATGTCAACATCCCTCCTATGCTTGCAGTGGTTCTCAACCTTCCTAATACCGTGACCCTTTAATATAGTTCCTCATGTTGTGGTGACCCCCAACCATAAAATTATTTCCGTTGTTACTTCATAACTGTAATTTTGCTACTGTTATGTCTTAGACGACCCCTGTGAAAGGTTGAGAACCGCTGCTTGAGAGCTATTCCAAGCCTCAACTCCAGCACAACTTCAGTATCCAGGTTCACTGCCAAAGCTCCCCTTTCTCAAAGTGCACTTACTTATTGTGTTTATCAGATAGGTATTCTTTTTTTTTTTTTTAATCCTCATTCAAGGATATTTTTCCATTTATCTTCAATTAGAGTGGGAGGGAGGGAGGGGGAGAGAGAGAGACATCAATGTGAGACACATTGGTGGCCTCCTGCATGACCCCAGCCAGGGCTGGGGACCGAACTGTAACCTAGGTACATGCCCTTGACCAGAATCCGCAGGCCAACACACTAACCACTGAGCAAAACCGGCCAGGGCAGATAGGTATTCTTTAACCAAGACAAGTCTGCAAAGTTCAGTAACCAGTAATTTAACACCCAAATTCAGCACATAACTTATATTACTGTTATGTAGTTTGTTGGTTACTTACAACACAAAATATTATTCAATAATTGGCATTTATGTAACTAAACTATCTTTTTAACTATATTATGAATATCCTATGAGTACAGATAATTTGTTCTTTGTATTGTATTATCTCAGTGCCTGCAACGGTGTTAGATAGTATAATCCACACATTACTGATTACCTTTTTTATTTGTAGGTTTAAGTCCTTCCGCTTGAATTGCTGGATACTGAGGAATGTGGATTTCCCTGGGGATATAAAAATATTCTGGAAGGCTCACTTCTGTTGTGTATAAAATGGACTTAGGCTGCTTTAACCTTGAGATAGTAAAGAGCATATAAGTCTACAAATAAACAGAAAGAAAAATTGGAATATAATTTTCTTACCCTTTAACTCTAAATTCTTTAGACACATTATTATCTAATTGGTGTGAGGCAACACTAACACATTTCATAGAATTAATGGAATCACCCTTTATGGAGACATACTCCGTGTTCCCTGTTCTAATCCTTTCAGAGTTGAGGAGTTCATTGCCTCAGGAAGAAACTATTCCATGGGTGAACAGCATTGAGAAAGTGCTTCCTTCCTTATATATTGACACAGACCCTCTTCTTGACCATACTCTAGTCAGGCTCCTCCAAGCCCTCTTCTCAACTAGTCCTCAACCTTGGCATACAAAAACTGCAGTCACAGAAGGAGACATTTACAAATGTGACAGGGGGTTCAAGGATGTGATATGGATTTAATTGATGCTTATCTGAGTTGCCTTAGAAAGCTTGTAATTATAAATCCTTTCTCTCCCCTTTGAGATATAAATCTTCTATCACCCATAATTGTCTTCTCAAGGACCTCAGAACTCCCTCTTCAAAATGCAAACATTCAAGGAGATAATGTTCCCAGCCAGCTGGGTACCTTGCTGCAACTTATATCACAACCTCCAGGTATAAAGATTCCAGAAGTTTGTTTCTCCTGCAGATAAGCATCTATTAAGAATTTGACATCACATCCATTAACCCCCTCTCACTTCTTGTAAATGTCCACTTTTGTGAGTCTGCTCAATCCCCCTACTCATTCTCCCTCCTTACTTTTTTTTTTCCATCCTCCCTTTAAGACTCCCAAATACTGCTGCCCAAATTGAAGTTGAGTTCCTTTCAGGCTGGATCCTCCTCCCTGCTGCAATAGTGCCTAGTTTTATCTTTCACAGTATTAATAGGATTACTTCATGACTTGAAGGGCACTTAAATTATACAAATACAAGAAACTTTTTCTTACCCTTCTGAATCCTCACCAAGGAGATCTTTCAGATTTCCTTTCTAAAGATATCAAATTTCGAAATTCTGATGATTTCTCCTGCCATTTATCCCAGAGTACATACCATGGCATTTAAAACATAAACATAAGGAAGCTAATAGAAAATATAAGGAACCTACCTTGTAAGCCCTGAATCTTTCCAGTATCACTGAATATATCATTAAAGTTGTTTTTATTAATAGGCAGAGAATATGGGCTAAATAAATGAGTGCTAAGTAAAGTGTCAGAAATCTACGCTCCTGACGAAAGATCCTGTCTTTTACAGTATATAAAGTAGATATGCCATGTTGCTATTACTCTATAATTATTTCAAAATTCAAATTACACATGTTAATTTTTGTATTTATTAAATTAGATTTAGTTTCGAACAAATATATTTCAAGGTTGATTTTAGATTTTATTTGTTACGCATTCTATTGTGTACCAGAGCATTCTAGATATTCATTTATTGCATTAAACAAGTTCTTGGTGGTAGACTAAGAAGTGAAGATATGAGCTGGAGGATATATAGGTCAAGGAAAACAGTAGTGGACTGGGAGGTAAAAACCTGGGCCCATTTCTATCCTGTCATAAATCACTGGTGTGAATTTAGGGTACCACCTTCTTATTTGGGGGCCTTGGTTTACAGATGTGTAGAGCAGAGTAAGAGGATGGACTATGTGTCTCTGAGTGCCTTTGATTTGTTTTCCAGCTTTAAAAAACAATAATGTCTCTACTCTGATCCAGGTTGTGATGTCTGCCTAGTCACTGAGAGCAATGTAGGTCTTTTTATGCCTCACTCATTCCATTCTTTGTATTATAAATGCAATCCTATCTGTTCTACATTTCTCCATGGGGTCATCAAAATAATTTGAAAAGTGCACATAAAAGCATTTTGAAAAAAAGGTGAGAGTATTTTAAAATTTTATCTTGTTTACTGTTCTGCTGCAAAACAGTATTAGTGTTATTGAATTTCGAGAGTGCACTTGACTTGAAAAGAAACCTTTATGACTAGATAAGTGTAAGCACAATAAGATGTGTCTAGGTTGTGATTTGGTGTAGATGCTTTTCTTAAATTGACCCATTCAACCCTCTTCTAGTTATTTTCTACACTTAGAGAGTTTTTACTGAAACAAAAATATATAATATATAATATTCAGGGACTTCAAAGAAAATAGTTATCTTCAGGTAAAAATGTTTTCAATTTTTAAATTAAGAGACCACTTAAACCATTTCAAATTTAATTTTTAAAAAGTGAAAGGTTATTCATAAATTATTACTATTATCATTACTACTCCTACCAACAAATTCAGAGGAAATACACATATACAGATACTCATCCTGCAAATGTGAGAGGGAAACAGGAGTAAATAAATAATAAGATGACTTTGTGAAAAATCAGGCTATGATGCAACCTGGATGGATATCAGCCTATACAATGAAGACTTAAGGTTTAAAATGGTATGTATTTGTTCAGGCCCATGTTCAAGTCAATTAAACAATGACAGTGCCTCTCATGCACAAGTCATAAAGGGGTAAACAAAAAACATGTGAAAAAAGTTTTTAGATTTCTAGAAATTCACATCCTAGAAAGTCAGGTACATATAAAAATAAATCTTATATAAAAGATAATTTGACAAATGCAATGATAAAAACTAAAAGTGTGCTGGGTTCCAGAGAAAAAGCTAAAAGAAGAGGGAGAAAGATAGAAACCACATACATGCATAAATAGTAAAAAGAAGATCCATGGGCAAAATCCATCTCCTTCAAGCATTTTTCATTTAAATAAAATGTTTTGACAAGAGGTAATAATGAAGAAAATGAACTTAAAAGAAAAAGAGAGAAAGTGCACCTACAATGTGATAGGCTTAAAGTTGGAAAAGACCGCATTTTGAACATTTTTCTTGTCACCGTGTCATAAAAGTTGCACACAAACCATCCAATTTCACTGTCCTATAGCAGAAGGAAGCATTTTAAGTGAGTCATCAGCTTCTTAAATGCATAGTATGGATGGGGAGGTCCAGAGAGCATCACAACCTCAGGCCTTGATATTTTTGAGCTAATCAGAATTTTAAAACCCAGGTCATCCATAACATATCATCACTGTTAAAAATCTTGATTAGACCATATTGATTATATCATTCTGACAACAAAAATCACCCCTGCAATGCCAAGTCTTTTATTGTAAAAGGTATAAATGAAGGTAAATCTTAAACAAGGATGAAAATATTTATTTTCTCCTTCATTGAACAAACACTCTGTGACTACCTTTGGCAGGGCACTGGTGATATGAAAGTTAACTAAACAAATATCTTCTCGCAAATTCCCTTACTAGAGACAGACATGAGTAAATACATAAATATACGACACCCAGGTGATAAATTCTATTAAGAAAGAAAACTGAAGGAAATCTAGGATTTGAGAGTACCTAAGAGGTGATACTTTTTAGAAAATGTAGGTTGGTAAAGCAGAATCTCACTGATAGCATTCAAGCAGATCTGAAGTCAATGAAAGAGGGTAGCTTCTAATATCTAGAAAAAAAGTAACAGAGGAAGTGCATGGGCCATGGGGACCATACACTAGGCATCTGAAGAAAACCAAGGAAACCCGTGCTGAGGGAGTGACCTGAGGGAATGGACTCCAGAGGAAATGTGAAGATCAGGGAAGGAGGTGGGACTGACCAGGAGGGTCATGAAGAGCATCCTATGGATGTTGCTGGGGTTTTTTTTGTTTGTTTGTTTGTTTATTTGTTTTTCAGAGAGAGAGGAAATAAGAGGGAGAGAGAGATAGAGACATCGATGAGAGAGAACATCGATTGGCTTCCTCCTGCATGCCCCCCACTGGAGATCAGGCCCACAATCTGGGCATGTGCCCTGAGTGGGAATCAAACCAGTGACCTCTTGGTGCATGGGTCAGTGCTCAACCACTGAGCTACACTGGCCAGACGGTTGTTGGTTTTTATTCTGACATGAACTAGACACCAGTAGAGGAGCAATATGAACAGGTTTACACTTTGGAACAATTGCTTTGTCAGCTCTGTGGTGACTAGGCTGAACCTTATTTCAATTATAAAATCAAGTACAAGCTATAATAACAGAGTCTATAGTGATAATAGTAATAATAATAATAATAATGATAACATTGCCATATAGAGAGAGTGCACTTATTATATATGAGGTATTATGCTAAGCATTTTACATAATTATCTCACTTATTTTCCATAAATTATCAATATCTCCAGATTAAAAATGTAAAAATTGAAGTGTGATTATTTTTAAGTAACCAACCCACAGTCACACAGGTGGACAGTGTTACTGTCTAGATTCTCAGCCTGGTCATCTGATCCCAGGAATAAACCTCTCTGCATACAAAACAGAATATCCTGGGCAACTTTTAGAACATGTCCCTACCCACTTCCTTCCAGAGATGTGTACTGCATGTAATTATTTTGGAGTGGTACCTGGGCACTAGTATTATTTTGAGTTTTCTAGGGCATTCTCATGTGCAGCCAGAACTGAAGACAACTGTGAATGAAGAAACTACAGTGTAATGCCTAAAATTAGTAGTATGCTTAGTTACTACTAATTTAGTTGTCACTACTAAATTTAGAAGTACTGCTAAAATTAGTACAGTGCTTTCTTTCGGGTTTATTTTTAATGAGGTAAAAAAGATACAAAGCTACTGAGCTGTCTTTCTGGGGAAAACCAGCATTCATCCATTTTTCTATGCATACATGTATGTTATGATTATGTAACAGCTCTGTATATTTTTAAGGAGAGGATAATTTAAGTACATCATCTGTCCATTCCCACCTCGACCCTGGTCAGCCCCAGGATGGCAATGGCCACACGGATGCTGCTGCTCTCCAGAGTGCCTGTGAGCAATCTTCGCTGATACTCCACATCTGACATCTGTTTCTGTGCTGCAAAAGCCAATGCCTTTTCCTTGGCTTCATTAGTCAGTGGCAACATAAGGTCGGTATCCAACACTTCCTGGGATTTACATTTCAAATACAGAACTGGATCGTCCTTGTTAAACACTAGGGGGAAGCAAAAACATTCATGACTGCAATGATCACTTATGCCCTTGACATTATCATTCAGGATGGATTTTGGAGGTTTGAAATATAAAACTGCAGTTGTGCCCTTCATTAGACTGAGCAAAAATAGATAGATAACATTTCTAGCAGTATTAATTCAGTAATTCAAGAATAAGTATTCAGGAATTAAAGATATATTCTTAGTACTCTCTAAAAAGAGTTCTAGTCAAATGGTTCTTTCATAGAAACATTATCAACATAATAAAAAATACAGTGACTATTATGTTCTTATCAGGGATTAGAAGGTAAGGGGAGTAGAAATAAATGTAAAGAAAGACATCTGTCAACAACTGGCATGAACTGTAATTTTCTTTCACTAAAAACCTTATACTTTAAACTAGAATGTTATATTACTGACATAATAAAATTAAATCTAATTATGTATTGAGAAAACTTGCTATGAGGATGCTTAGGTAACTATATGAGGAACAGTCCCTTTCTTCAACATTATAAATGAAATAAAACAGATGTATACTCTACCTTTTGGAGAACATGTGTAGTCATATAATGTTGAGAAAGTCTCTACAGGCAGGCTGGAAGGCATGGGAATTGTACCTTTTCCTTCCACAATGTATACTAATTCTCCAATCTAAAACACAACCACACAATAATATTAAATTCTAAAAGCTGAGACAAAATTAGGATAAATCTTTCTTCTGTGAGAAAAATATGCATGCTGTAAAAACAACATTTCATTGTGCATTTTAAAACAATATATGCTCTAAATGCATGGAGAAAGGTAAGGCTTAAATATAGCCCTACCATAATGTGGGAGAAATTCTGCATGCAACAGACCACAGAGGTGGCTTAATAACATCCCAGAATGACACTGACAGTAGTTGATCTTTGTAACTACAAATATCTATTGCAGACAACTAGCTTAAAACAAATAAATAAGCAAGCAAGCAAGCAAAATGTGTTTTTCCTTCATTGTGCAATGTATTAGAGAGGAGTGACATCATTTTTGCAGGGTATCTGAGTCCTCAAGAGTCTATATTTTAAAGTACAGGGTTTCTAACTGTCCTTTGATGGATGCTTGGATAAAAAAATGTGGTTTATAAAGAAAACTAAGTAGTATATATGGAATACTACTCAACTATAAGAGTATCATGTTAAGCAAAATAAGTCAGATGAAAAAGTACAAGAACCATATAATTTCACTCATATGTGGGATATAAAACAGAAAGCAACAAACGAATGAACAAACCAAACTCACAGACAGAGATAACAAAAGGGTGGTTACTAGAGGGGAAGAGGGTTGGGGGAGGATAAAGGGGGTCAAATACAAGGTGATGGAAGGAAACTAGACTCGGTGGTGAGCACACAATGGAATATACAGATAGTGTATTATAGAATTGTACACTTGAAACTTATATGATCTTATTAACCAATGTCACAGCAATAAATTTAATTAAAAAATAAAGTACAGGTTTTCAAAATGAGGTTCTGAAGATCTTTCGGAATAAATAAGTAATTAGGCAAAAAGTACAAAAGTCTAATCAGAAAGAGTGAACATAAAAGTGGGGTCAAGGCAAAGGCATCAACATGATACAGAGAAAGATTAATAGAGGTGGACACACTTAGTTTCAACCCTGGCACTGTCATTTATTAGCTACTAAGCCTGAGGTAAGTTTACTAAAAGCTCTGAGTTCTGGTTTCTTCCTCTGCAAAATGGGATGAAAAATATTCCTTCATTGTAGTAATCTAGAGATTAAAATAAAAGGAAGGGGAGAGCCCTGTCCTATTTTGCTCAGCGGTTAGAACATTGGCTCTCGGACCAAAGGGTCTTAGGTTCGATTCTCGACAAGGGCACATACCTGCGTTGTAGGTTCAATCCCCAGCCTGGTCAGGGTCGTGCAGGAGGCAACCAATCAATGTGTCTCTCTCATATCAATGTCTCTCTCTCTCTCTCTCTCTCTCTCTTTTTCCCTTCCTCCCTCCCACTCCAAAAATCAATGAAAAAAATATCCTCGGGTGAGGATTAACAAAAAAAAAAGGAAGGGGAGAGAGAGAGCCTCAAAAGACATATCACACAATCACAATGGATGAATATTATTTAGATCTTGATTCCGAAGGGTAACAGAATATGTCACCTCAAAATATGATTGTAGGGTTCAGACATGCCACCCCAAAATATGCTACTTTGGTATAGTGATGATTTTGAGCTACAGGCATGTGAAAAACAGCTAATGCAGGGAAAGGCTTTCTCTGAACTCCCCATATGCCTAGAGACAGATCCTCCAAAAGGAATTCAAGTGTCATAAATCCAAAGACTGACTCTTTTTCATAGGAGAAGAGGCTAGAAGTTGACACTGTGTCCAGACAAACTTTGTTACAAACTATCATATCTCCCATCTATTATTCTAAAGTCCCATTCACCTTTCCTAAAAATCATTTATTCTTCTAAGTGACTGACATCCCCGCTCCACTTTCCCTAATAAGTTGGTATTTAATCTTGAATTTGAAGTTACCATAGGAAGTCACTCAATGTTCCTGGGTATCTCCCATGTATACATGAAATATACATCTTAATAAACTGCTGTTTGTTTTTCTCCTGTTAATTTTTTTTTATCCTCACCTGAGGACATTTTTGCATTTATCTTCAGATAGAGCTGGAGGGAGAGAGGGAGAGAGAGAGATAAACATCGATGTGAGAGAGACACATCGACTGGCTGCCACCCACATGACTCCAACCAGGGCCAGGGACGAACCACAACCAAGGTATGGATGGGCCTTTAGTGGGAACCGAACCCGGGACTCTCCGGTCTGCGGGCCGATGCTCCAACTACTGAGCCAAACTGGCCAGGGTTCTCCTGTTAATTTTTTATTATGGGGTGGGGAGTTCTCAGCCAAGAACTCAGAAGGGCAGAAGAAAAATTATTTTTCCTCCTCTACAATTCTGATGTTCTTTTAAAAAGTACAATATTTTTAGTAGTAATGGTATCATGGTTATGTCAATATTTTGTTGTCATTGTTATAGGGATAATTACTGAATTATTCATGGATAAAATTATGTGATGACTGGGATTTGTTTCATTATGATCTTAAAACATATTTGGCTATTTACTGTTAAAGCTGAGTGAAGGGTACCTGGGAGGATTTATTGTAGTTTTATTTCTAACTGTTTTATATTTTCCATAATAAAGTATTTTTTTGAAAATGCTTATATCTCAAGAAGTAGAATGATACTAACTAAAGATGTAGTGAAGACTACATGAGATAACACATAGTAGGACTCTAAGCCTTTACCTGGCATTAACCAGGCACTTAAGGGATCCATTTTTTGGAGAGCAGGCTTTCCAAACTTTCAGGTGCATATAAGTCATCTAAGGATATTGTGAAAATGCAGTTCTGACTCAAAAGATCTAGGGTGGGGGCAAGACTTGAGAGAATCCATGAAAAGAAGGACTGGCAAATTTAGGTTTAAACCACACAATGGAGAATCTTGTACCAGAATGGACTTGTGACAGGCATGCAACTAACTACTAGGAAAGTAAAAGGAAACAAACCTAGTTTCGAAAGCGGGATTGTAACTAGTTTGAGCTGTCCCATAATCTTAAAACAATATTAACTATATGCTTGAGAGACTACTCCAAAGATATCTTTGAGCAAGCAGAATATGTAAATAGCATAACAGTAAATTCATCATATAATAAAAATACATATTCCAAAATATTGTAATTATCTTAGATAATGAATAAAATGGCAAAAATTAATCTAGAAACAAAAGAGTAAATAATTTCTGATTGTGAGGTCAGTTTATTTATAGATTCATTATCCCTCCCAATTGAGATTTGTTTATAATAAAATTAATTTCATCATCTACTTTTATATGAGAATATTCCATAGAATTTCACTAATTATTATTCATAATTATCTTCAGTTCATACTGATAAAAGGAATATCAAAAATTGAATGTTTTAGATTGTTCAGCATTTACATCTGTGCACTCCTGGTAATAATTAATACATTATATATAATTTTCACATAGTAAATTTTCCTTAACTGCTATGTACACTTTGTAAACATAAATCCAAGCTAGCAATGTGAACTGTGTTTTGTGTGTGTGTGTGTGTGTGTGTTACTACAAATACAATTGAGTTATCATTATTAATGTCAACTTTTCAATAATTCAAGTGGAGAACAAATGCATAAGTTCAACAGCCTGGAGAAAACATATTAATATTTATTTTTTACCTTTATCTTATCCTTACTTTTATCTAAAAATCAGTTGTTTTACCCAAAAGATAGTATTCAAAAGAAATAAAACTCAGGGAGTATTGTAATCATAATTGCATGTTCTTTTAAATTTGTGCCTCAATGAAACCTGATCTATAGCTTGTCTACTCCATGAAAATCAATATCAACCCATTTGAGTTGCTACAAAAGAAACAAAATGTATTTGCCAGAATATTTTCTTAAATATAGATTATAAACAGCTCCTTAGCCTTCAATTAGCCAATGAAAATAACAGTAACTAAGAGTTCATTCAATTCCATTTAAATCCACATATTACACAGACAATATATTACCATTTCTCAAAAAAACTTAGTCTAACTTGTTCATTTTCTTTTCTTTTTTTTTTTTTTTATCCTCACCCGAGGACATTTTTCCAATTTTTGTACAGGTAGAGTGGGAGGGAGAGAGAGAGAGAGAAACATCGACGTGAAAGGGACACATCGAGTGGCTGCCACCCGCACGACCAACCAGGGCCGGGGACAAACTGCAACCGAAGTACATGCCCTTAGCGGGAACCGAACCCGGGTCTCTCCGGACCGCAGGCCGACGCTCTAACCGCTGAGCCAAACCGGCCAGGGCTCATTTTCAATATATACTTTTTATTTAAAAATAATAATTTAACTGTAAATAATGCATGTTTTGCCTCTGTCAGAAAATTACTCAGGAATGTAATCTGTAGAAATATCTAATTAATTCCCTCTACTTTTCTTGAAATAAAATCACACCAGGGAAGAAATACATTTGCAAAGAATTATTTTAAAGTAGAGAAGCCCCTTACCTTCCATGTCTGGAGGTTGTGAAAAGAGAAATGAAATTATCTCACACCTAACAGACACTTGCCAATGTGAGCCATTCTACTAGTCACCTAATACATTTCCTTTCTGCTCGTAATTGATATTTACCAGTCAGCATGTTTACTTAGATTTATAATATTATATTTTCCAGGAAGATGCCACAGCCCATGACCAATTGTAAGAAACCCTCACAAAATACATTTTGTTCTTCCTGTGCATCTAGTTAAATAAAGTCCTGAAATAATACAGTTACATGCAATGTTACAAGACTGAATGTTAATCATTCAGAAAGGAGAAAAACAAAAACTGAATTGGAAGGAAAGTTTTCATCCAGCTCTGCCACTAATTAGCTGGGTAACCTTGGATAGGTCATGGATGCCCTCCAGATACAAATAACCTCAATCTTAAAAAAAAAAAATTGTTTTATAACTGTCTGAGGAATGGGGTAGTCCCAGAGACGTGGAAGTGGGGTACAGACTGACAATTTCCAGAAGAGGGGGTGGGGGGAGAGATAAACCACAGGACTTATATGCATGTGTGCATGAACAATGGACAT